TGTGACACAGTTATTTTACAATGGAATAGTAATATAAACTCACTTGGGTCTTCATATTGATGTTTAGGACTGCACTTGATCAGTCTCTTAGTGGCATATGTGCATCCTGTGTGGGTTGCCTTGATTCATAGGCATTATAGGCAATGATGGATAGCGCATAGCAGTGGAATCCAGGGTGCGCGTTTCATCCTATTTGAGACAAAAACTTCACCCGATTGCACAAGCAAGTAGCCATCAGGACTCAGCGGCTGAGTGGCGATGGCTTTTGAAGCGAATGGTACTGGGTTCGAGTCCAGGATAGAAATTCAACTCTGAGGTGCAGGTACATTCAACTGAATATGACGAGATGCGATGCACTTTTAAGGTACTGTACATGTTTAAGCTTTTCATTTTTCTTCACATATGGTTTCATCTAAAATGTCACACAAATAATAAGTATAACTCATATTTAGTTCTATGGGATTTTGCTTGTTTTTTTAAAGGAAATACTACCAAGTGTTGAATTAATACAAAAGATATAACATTGATGATTTATTTATTAAATTAAGTATTTCATAAACAATATCGGCATTTTTTGCAAGTCTTGCCTTTACCATTAACAAAGCGACAAAACATAAGTGATTCATTTCTAGGATACCCGAAGATTTATTAAGGGGTACTGATATATGGAGCTATGCAGATGAAACCTCCAGCAAATATTCTTGTTTTCTCAAAGAAGCTGAAAATCACTGATTATTGCGTTTAAAGACAGTATGTTAGCTTAAAATGAAATTACTGTTGACAGAACATTTAAGTGAGTTTAACTTTTTGAGGGAAAAATTATGAAGAAGAAATTACCGATAAATATACAAGACCTTATTGAAATACATTTTTAATTAAAAATAACTGGACACTAAATTCACTCGTCAAATGATTGATTACTGGTAAATGAAAGGTTAACAAGAAATGACTGAAATAATGGACAATTGTATAAAATGTAGGAGGACTTGAAAATTACATTTCCAAATTCAAGGTTTTTTCATTTCGAAACGGGTGTTTATTACAAATGAAAGCACGAAAACATGTTGATTATACGATGTATAGTTTTTCTGTCACATACTTTAACAAAGATCTTTGAAAATATTCATTTTCACATTAAGACTGAAAGTAAACTTGTTCAGTATTGTAGTCAAAGTAGTTTTTTTAGAAATATTGAACTTACTTTTATATTAAATGCATTAAATTCAGTTCCGTAAGATCAGTTGTGTTATGATTTATCTAGCTGTAACATCATCGATGTCATCTATAATCCAATAAGCCTAATATGTTCAAATGAAAACAATGTATTTTCGAATTTCGAAATCGTAAACCTCAGTTTTTCATCAAATGTTCATCAGTCATTCAGTACAATGCACAATGTATAACACTGACTTTTCATTATGATTAGCTAATACTGTTAAGAAAACAAAGCAAATATATAAATCAGTGATGAGTTATATTTCTCAACTAAGACAGCTTATTTATCGATTTTCCAAATTACATACACACAGTACTGATGAGTTAATGTCAACTAATACTTGCTCAACTCCGCCTGTAGCTCTTCTAAGGCTACTGCCGATCACAAGCCCACAAAAAGAAGAAGGGTTGAGCTTAGGGTCGTCAACCCCATCATGTAGAAAACAACCTTGCTAAAAAACACTAACTAGAATAAATAAGTGAAACCACTAACACTTCGCCGTCCGAGTTGAAAAATCTTCATTCAGAAGGATTATGACGCCTCATGGTGAAGGCCGAAATTCTTCGGAAACCATGAAACCAAAACCCCTTATAAAAACCAGAGGAACAATTAACATAGGTACATGTAATATCCGGACAAGTGGAAGACCGCTACGACTGATCACATAGCTACGGAATGAGGAGATACAACCTAGTGGTGCTCGGAATCATTGAAACCCATTTCAACCAAGCTGAACAGAAGAAGCCTGATTCTGGAGAGCGGCTGCTGTACTCACCAAGAGGAACATGCTCCACATACTCAGAGAGTTGCTCTGATGCTGTCTAGAGAAGCACGTAGAGCACTCATAAAATAGGAATCTCATGGATCTAGAATCATCAAAGCATCCTTTAAACAAAGAAGGAGGGGATCACAGTGAATGTTATCCAGTACTACGCACCCACCAACGATAGCAACGAACACGATAAAGACCAGTTTTACTAGAGTCTGCAATCGATCATAGAGGAGTGCCCATTCAGGAACTGACTATCCTGGTAGAAGATCTAAACATCGAAATTGGTATGGACAACACTGGATATGAAGATATAATGGGACGACAAGAACTGACTGGGGGAAGGAATGAGAATAGTGACAGATTCGCAAATCCATGTGCATTCAACAAATTGTTTATAGGCAACACAATATTCCCACACAAACGCATACACAAATCTACACGGATCTCGCCGGATCATACTACACAGAACCAGATAGACCATATTTGCATAATTGAAAAGTCCAGAAGGTCAATGCGAGATGTGAGAAGCATGAGAGGAGCTGACATAGCTTCAGATCACCACTAGTTGGTTGTGGCCGCGATGAAACTGAAGTTAAACAAGCAACGGACAACTGGACAAACATCATTATATACGTTTAATACAGCCTTCATTTGAGATACTAACAAACTCAACGAATTCAAGATAACTCTCAACAACAGGTTCCAAGCCTCAGAGAACCTACTGAAAGAAGTAAAAGCGGCCATGCAGGACAACTGGAAGAGGAACAAAGAAGCACTAACTTCAACGTATCAATTGGTTCTGGGCCGCGAGAAACATGATGATTAGGGATGAATCTCTATGGGGACCCTGAACAGGATTGAGGGAAGGAAGGACAAGGAGATAGTAATGATGAACTGCCGAACAAGAGCAGAGAAAATCAAGGAAAGTGACAAATACACAGAAACAAACAGATAAGTGAAGAATGGCATTAGATCTGACAAGCAGAAATACGTGGAAGACCCAGCACTGGCAGCTAGTAAAGCTGACAGTAATAGAAACATGAGAAAACCACATGACACAACGAAGAAACTGGTAGGGAAATCTAGGGAATCCGATAGACCAGTCAAGTGTGAAGAAGGCAAGCCAATCACTGAAATCCAATTACAGAGGAACGGATAGGTGAAACACTTTGAAGAACTCTTGAAGAGATCAACCCGACTGAACCTACTGTACATCAAAGCAGCACATACATACCTTCCCATAGATTTCACTGAACCAACAATCAAAGAATTCAGGTCGGTCATGTAGTATAATTTCTCTTTATTATGGCCCAGCTTCTCCTCTTGCTTAGTATTCCTGGACAAGAATTCATTCGACAAATTACGAAATCACAATATGGTTGAACAGGAACGAAGAGCGTCGGTCCACTGTGAAACGTTTGCATCTGATAACCAAGCTTTTAGTTGTATGTGAAAGCGTCATACCAACCCGTTTGCTTGTGGGTTTGCCAATCGTGTCTAATCACCTTAGATCTTTGGTAGCTTACACCGGAGTATGCCTACTCCCTCACGTCTTTATTTCTATTAGGTCAACAAAATCGTTCTGTTTTGGACTTGATGGTCGCACGAACACTTGAATGAGAAAGTTTGTGCAACGTAATGAAGACGTTGTGTCGATAAAGCTTCGGCAAGATTGGACGATCACATAGCAAAGTTCCCTTTCCTGACCCTCTCTGTTTAATACTCATTTTCAGGGTTGTAAAAGATAACTCATGATGAAAATCAGTGTCTTCTTCTTGACTCTGGGTGAGTTTGAGAGGGTTCAAGGAAGTTATACGAGACAAGACTCCTCCGATCGCTGAGTCGGATGCGTCTACGGCGATACTAATGGACGCTTGAGTGTCTTGATGTACCAGTATATTTGTCTTTGCGATAAGTTCCTTAACTGTGGAGAATACTTTTCGCACAGTGTCGTCCACTATAATGGATTTCGAATTTCCACGAAGTTGGTCGGTTAGTGGTTTCATGAATGACGCGCATCTTAGTAGGAACAGTCTGTAGAAACTTAAAAGACCGTTGCTTAATGGTGGTCAGTTCTGGGTAATCCAGAATGGCAGCCATTTGCTTCTCAGAGGTCGGATGCCTTGAGCATCAATAGTGTGTCTTAGGAATTCTAAGGAGGTGGTTCCTATTTGGCATTCCTGAGTATTTACGGTGATGTCATACTTTTGCAGTCGTTCGAACACGATGTTCAGATGCTGGAGATGAGATTTTCTGTCCGGATTTGCTAACAAGCAGTCATCAACATACACATGTATGAGGTTGAGACCTCGAAAAACGTTATCTATGAATCTTTGGGTAGTGTGGACAGCATTTCTTTAGCCGAAAAGCATTTTCAAAAATTCGTAGAGACCGGAGAGAGTGATGATAGTGGTTTTTGGAATATTGTTAGTAGCCATAGGGTTTTGGTTATAGGCTTTAACCAAGTCGATTTTATAAAAGACAGTTGTACCTTTCAAGGTAGCTGTCAAATCATGAATGCGAGACAGCGGATGCATGACCAAGCGCCTTCAGCCAGGTGAGTCCAGTTAAACTAATGTGGTCAGCATCCAATGTCGAACACGTATAGAGCTATTGATCCCGGGGATTTATTTATCGTTATAGACTTATTAAAGCATTTACTTTATTGTTTTTTTTCACCGCTACAATAGTAACAGGTCTCTTAAGAGAAATATCAAACTAAATATTCAACTGATAGACTTTCATAGTTAAGATCACTCTAAACCTTTCAACTTGCATTTTGTTTCAGAATGATCTTATACAACAGGGTTTGTATTGAAAAATTAATTTTTGAAATAAATTGGGTTAAACGAAAGCTAAATCTCCAAACAAACAACCGCAGGGTAAGTCAATTACAATAAATTTATGCAATAGACTGGTCACTATAGGTTATAACATTTTCAGTTGATTGTTTGAGTTGTCGGGTTGCTGACGCGGGATTGTGCTGTTTCACTTTCCTACTCATCTGTTGCCATGTCTTCGTTTCGTGCTGCTGGACTGGTTTTACGTCAGTTGTCCAATAAAAACCCATGTGTGAGTTGACTTATGGATGCGTCTACTTTGTTTGTTCCATATAAACTCGAAATAAGCAGGCTACAATCTGTTACGTCTTATGTCGGTTTGGGGATCGTCGTGATGATCTTTTTGAGACTGAACTTTAGTCATATTTCTAGTAGCGATCTCTTATCTTTCGCTTTTCAATCCTCTTCAGCCTAGGTAGTTATGTCTTTTAGATCGCAAAAATCAGCAACTAGTATATCGTCAGGTTGATTCCCAGAAATCACATTGGTGTTATGCTACAGCGTCAGTCCGAGTAACCTAGTGAATGCGTTTGTACGAACCTGATTGAGAGTATGTGTTGGTCCAGGTTGCTAATACAAAATTAAGGAGAAAGGTACTGACAACGAACGGTCAAATTAGTGTAGTTCATCGGGAGAAATTCGTTGAGAATGTATTAGATGACATTGCAATATGACGAAAAAGTCCATGCACATAGTTCGCTTCAACAACTTCACAAATGTAGAATATCATACTTACAGTCAAGATTTGGTGGAAAAAGTTCTCAACGATTATAGGATCTAATATAAGTTATCCGAGTTCCAGGCAGCTTAATTCCAGAGTTTTGGAAAAACACGTCTAGTTAATTAAGTTGTAAACTTGTATATTATACGTCCGCATCCCGTTTTATTATCAATTACTGGCTATAAAATTTTCAGAAAAATCTACGTAAATCATGACCTTTACAAATGTCGGAGTTAGACTACCTTAGAGCGTGGCTGTTTAAACCAACAAACTTCTAGAAAACATCAAGATGGAATTTGCAAGAAAAAAAGTATGATAAGTATGCAGGCGTCACGTCAGTTAACAGAAAGGAAGTGTATGGCGTATTATTTTATTTTTAGCTTAAAATAATCTCCATTTTACGGTGAATTATGGGTCGCTACCTAAGGTCCTGTTTCCGAATGTTTTGGTTTCATTTATGGACCATCCCTTACTTGTCTCAACCTGTAAAACTAAGTAGCAATACGTACTCTTGCAAATACCAAGTGTACGAACGCGTTCTCTTGCGGAAGTGCAAAATCAATTATGCGAATGTCAATATCAATACATATTATTATCTTACGAACTAGTATCTTTCATAGGCCCGACTTGTCTTTTAGTTCCAAACTTTGTACATCAGGTAAGGACGTTTTTTTGAGCACTCATCGTAAAACGACATTTTTTGGTGGAGGATCATTCTCTGAGCTAGTAGTTTGATTGTGATACTTTCATTATTCTGAACAACAGCACAACTTTCACCTATAAATTGTTTATTTGTAAGTAGAGCTCACTGCTGAGTGGTAAACATAATCTTTACTTCCTGTGGGATTTTAACTTTTCTTTGTGTAAAAGCTTTTCCCTTCTACATAGCCTTATAATTTTGTTACTTCATGTAGTGTAGGTGTTTGTAAAAAGCTCTTTTTAATTAAGACACGGTTTTCAAGCTGTAAGTTACAGGTTAGAATATTGTTCTGCCGGCTTGTGCTGACGTGCATGTCCGCAATCATGTTCTAAAACGAAAGGAAATGTATGTTTTTGTTAATTAAGCTACACCGTCACGAAATGTAAAGTACACAATGCAAATATAGAAAGCCATCTCACACGTGCTGCAGCCAACTCTAAATCGTGTAATTCAGAGTCTGAATATTGGTTATAATATTTGCGTGGACTCTAACCATGTAATCTTCAACTTACATAATTCTGTCCAACAGTTAGTGACTCAATGGAATTTTTCTGCGTTTTCATCTGACTGCCTTTAACTTATCTCCAGTCTACTACATCAGACGCATCCCACTTACACCCATTTGTTGGATGACTTCACCTTATTCTCATCATTTTCCTTCCTGACGACTGTCGGTTTGCTCCGTTAATTTTAATTGAACCACGTGACATACATAAAAGCAACGATAACTCAGACAAAATGTATGCTGTTTATTAAAAGAAAATAATGCTGGCTGTCTTGTCTCTCTAAAATATGTGAACCTACAGCTGCTTATAACACCCTTTCCCTCTGCATCATGATATCACAGAGCCTATATTTTCCATTTCTGGATTAATTTGTTACATCGCAGGTAAACAGTTGTTTTGGTGCTCTACTGTGGCAGGATTTACATGCTTAAATAAAACAATTATTCAACAAACAAACTACTAGGACAATAAGTTTCCACTACTTGTATACTAGTTATGTTTCGTTAATTTCGATAAGCTAGTGACCTATGTCATGTTTCCAGCAATTTATTATCAAGTCAGTAGAAGCAATGTACTCTGGTAATTCGGTATGTATGCTGAACTTTCAACATATTTACTCCACTTGTATCATCCATTCTGTTATTAGCACGTACATCGCATACATATTGCTGCTGATCCGTAAACTTACTGTTTTCCTTTCATTTAAGGTATTTAAACAACTTGGTTGCCGATGGCTATCCACTTCATCTACTTTAAAAGCTGGAGCCCCAGAATTCTCCAGTATTTTAGAGGAACGTATTCTAGGACAAACATTACAAACTAACTTGGAGGAAACTGGACGTGTTCTGAGCATCGGTGATGGGATCGCACGTGTCTATGGTCTGAAAAATATACAAGCGGAGGAAATGGTGGAGTTCTCGTCGGGACTAAAGGTATAACCATTTGATTTGTTAACATTCCTTAGGGTATGGCTCTAAATTTGGAGCCTGACAATGTTGGTGTGGTCGTTTTCGGTAATGACAAGCTAATCCGCGAAGGAGATATCGTTAAGCGGGCAGGGGCTATTGTTGACGTGCCTGTCGGAATAGAGTTACTTGGTCGAGTAGTTGATGCCTTAGGTAATCCAATCGACGGAGCAGGTGCTATCAATACGAAAACAAGACAACGTGTTGGAGTTAAAGCTCCAGGTATCATACCACGTATTTCTGTTCGTGAACCAATGCAAACTGGAATTAAGGCTGTTGATAGCCTCGTTCCCATTGGCCGTGGTCAGCGTGAGCTAATCATCGGAGACCGTCAGGTACTTTAAAGATTTTCAATGACGTGATTCACTTCTAGACAGGTAAAACAGCTATTGCAGTCGATACTATTATTAATCAAAAGCGTTTCAACGACGCAGCTGATGAAAAAAAGAAGTTGTATTGTATCTACGTTGCCATCGGACAAAAGCGTTCAACAGTTGCGCAACTAGTCAAACGTCTCACTGATGCAGATGCTATGAAATACACTATCATTGTGTCTGCAACAGCATCTGATGCAGCTCCGCTTCAGTACTTGGCTCCATACGCAGGGTGTGCAATGGGTGAATATTTTCGTGACAATGGGAAGCATGCATTAATAATTTATGACGATCTATCTAAACAGGCTGTTGCCTATCGACAAATGTCACTTCTGTTACGAAGACCTCCAGGAAGAGAAGCTTATCCTGGTGATGTGTTTTATTTGCACTCCCGTTTACTAGAGAGGGCTGCTAAGATGAATGATTCCTATGGAGGCGGTTCACTAACAGCCCTTCCAGTCATTGAAACACAGGCTGGTGATGTATCTGCATACATTCCAACTAACGTTATCTCTATAACTGATGGGCAAATTTTCTTGGAGACTGAATTATTCCATAAAAGTATAAGACCTGCTATCAATGTTGGTCTTTCTGTTAGTCGTGTTGGGTCTGCTGCACAAACTAAAGCTATGAAACAGGTTGCTGGTCGCATGAAACTAGAGTTAGCTCAGTATCGAGAAGTAGCTGCTTTTGCTCAATTTGGTTCTGACTTAGATGCATCAACTCAATCGTTGCTAAACCGAGGTGTTCGTTTAACGGAACTCCTGAAACAAAATCAATATGGTATGTAAATCTAAAACTAATCACTCATTTTGTTTAGCTCCCATGGCAATTGAACAGCAGGTTGTTGTAATCTACGCTGGTGTTAGGGGACATTTGGATAAGTTGGACCCATCAAAAATTATCCACTTTGAGAAAGATTTTCTTAAGTTTGTCCTAGCAAATCATCAAGATCTCCTAAAGACCATACGTGAAGATGGAGAACTGAAGCCAGCAACTGATGAAAAACTGAAAAAGATTGTAGTCGATTTCTTGGCTGGGTATCAAACGTCTCCATAGACAATCAAAGTATGCAACTATGGTAGTATCTTTTCATAGGATTTACGAGCTCAATAATGTTATTTGCAGATTTCCGTCGCAAGTCCTTTGTACTTAGTCTTATTGATAATAAAAATACCTTGAAAGCAAAGTACTTCAACTGTTTTTTGTATGGTGTGTAGATTTGGAAACGCAACAATTGATCAGTATATTTGAATACATCCCACTCGATGTGTGGTTATAAATTACATACTTAGCAAATTTAATGATTGGTCTAACATTTGTACTATTATTATTAAATGACCGTATAAAGATGATATATATTGCCAAATCTTAGAAATAGAGATATGAACCGTGTTCTTTTATCTAGTGATATAGGTGTATCGTGTTGACTGGACGTTCTCGTAACTATAGTACTGCATGGAGGTTTACAATGTTGGTGGGAGCTCTATCCTCAAAAGAATCCCCCTGTCTATGCATTACTCAGTGGTTGGAATGACGGAAATTCTTCATGAACAAAATATAAATTCGGATTCAATAAACTTCCGGCATTTATCAAATCCCTGTTGTGTCTTCGGTATTTTCGTTTACTTACAAATCTTTTAGAAATTAGTGTTCTAATTTTTGACATGAAAATTCAAAACGTTTGGTGTGATATTAGGCATTTTGTATCTTTTAGGTTGAAGCGGTAAATAATCTTGTCGAAAATGGGGACCGATTCAAGTATGATAACCACTTGGGTCGGTTCGTCGTTTTAATCACATTGCACTATCTTCACAGCCCCATAGTGACAAGTAATTTTGTGTTTAGTTGTACACATGGAGGATGAACAAGTCAGTCTTTCTGGCTGTTGTCATTACTGTTAGAAGTTAGTGGTTTTAATTTCTGTGTGAAATAGCCATAATTAAGTAGTACTTTATCTTATCCTTTCCAGTCTTGTTTTTTGTTATGGCCATTGTTTACCAAAAGACATGTTACCAGTCACCACTTTTGTACCACTGAGTTGCGATCTAGAACAATCTTAATTTGTTAATTACTTAACTATTTCAAGGTGGTACAATCGCCAATTTTCGGTCACTATTTAAGATATTGCAAAGAGCGGAATAATATTTTGAAGCGGAAATGGTTTGTGAGATAGTTATTTAGTCTACGACCACATATCTCACATCTCCTTGAGAGAAAGTGTATAACGGCGAGATAGTATAACTATTTTCAGTACTTAGTTCTTGGATTGAGTTTATAACTTTCTAATTTCGGAAGTATCTCAATTCGTCTGACTGAATGAAAACGAGTGATTTAAAATAAGTCTGCCATATACTACTGTTTGGCATTGGTTTTTCATTTGTATTGTAATGTAAAAGTATAGATTTTGCCGTGTTGATGTTTCAGCTTTAAATATAATTATTATTTTCAAAATGCAAATGCTAGAGAAGAAAACATTCTCGTTTACGTATTTTTTTGAACAAAAGTGATGTGCTGTGTATTTTGCGCGACCAATGTATCAAACTAGTGTTCAGTGATGACTGGATTTGTGTATCAATCAGCTGATACTTCACATAGTCTATGTAGATCAAAGGCCTTGAGAAACATTTAGTTTGTCAGCTGAATGCATCTCGAGTAGAGTTTCAAATATCTTGATTGGTCTAGCATAGTTTGTCATTTTTCTATCAGTCTGTGCCAACTCGAGTTGCACAATAATCGTATTTTATAATGATTGTAAATAGCCTTGTGTCTGATTATCTATCGATAGATATTGTTATATGAGTTTTCTTTCCATATATATGTCATAGGGACGGGAATAATATCTATGCATAAAAATATTATTGTACAATTTGTTGGTATCTACGTTAATTTACAGGTGACACCACAGAACAGGGTAAAATAAAAATTTGAAATATGGGGTAGCCAGTTTACATGGATCAAATGCCACTATGAGAGATACGGATTTTAGGCTTTTGACCGAATCTGGCGTCCGTGACTTTGAGGCTGAACGACACGGGGTCGAATCAGTCGGGGAGCATCAGTCCACTCAAAACTACAGGTACACCTTGCTGACGAGTGCCAAGTAGCACGAAACCTAGGTCCAGGGTTTCCTGTTGACCACCTCCAACAACTATTCTTAAACAAGAATTCAAGTGGCGAAGGCAAATGATGCAGGTTTACGAAGATATTGCAAGTAGCACATTGTTATTATGGATTTCAACAGCCATAATCTTAGGAGAAAAGCAAATCCAAAACGTTTAGGTCATGAAAAACTTAGTTGTTCGAAGCGCATAGATTTAATAAACATTTAGGCTTGGTTGAAAGTAGAAGAAACTTTTGGACTATTTATTTGAACACTCTTGATTTGACAGTCGAGTAGAATAGAATGAAGTCAAAGGCTAAGATGATTCTTTAAAAATCACTTGAAATACCAGTATATATTACTAATATAAATTATAACGAATGAAGTTTTCACTCCTTATTCAGAATGAAATGTAGTTTATTATAGTCGTCGTTCATCAATTGAAGCTAGTTTTCATTACAAGCTCGGAAACCATAACTAGATTGGATTGCAGAGTAAATTCATCTCAGTTTTAGACTCTTTACCAGTAGACATTAATCAATTTATAAAGGAGTGAGTCCTAAACATTGACGTTCGTTTGAAGGCGACTCTACCAAACCGAAGTATGGTGTTCCGTATTTTCAATCTGAGCAGCTAAAAAGGTGCCACATTCCTACGCAATCGGTTAATTGGTACATTATTTATGCTGATAATTGTATTAATTATTTGATTTTTATCAATAAAAGTTTATATATATACCATCTTATGAACAAAAATTCATTCCGATTAAGTATCTTTCTTTTTACATATTTGCGAATACCTTTCATCGAAACATACCATTAGCTGAATCTCAAATTAAGCAAGTACAAAATAACTATCCACAAAGGTTCGTGCCAGTTGTAGTAATTCATTAGTCAGTACGAAGTCCATATAAACTTCGATCAACTATCTGTTCAGCCGTAAACTGTTTAGCTCTCAGACCTGGATGCTTACCTCTAGTCGAAAAACCAAATACTTGGGATCCTGCTATAATCCTTACGTGTTCCAATATTGTATACATACAAATTCAATTATTCTTCGTTTTGCCAAGAGCTCTTCCAGTAAGAAATGATCGGCGAACACAGCTGTAATAATATTGAACCCCAGTTTGCTACCATCACTAGAATGTTCGAATTTTATGTTTCTTCTTGAGACAGTTTGTGCAATAATATTCACTAACATCTTTAACTCTTAAACCTTTTAGTTGTTCAGAACAGTACGTGTTAATATATCTACCTTAATCTTACAGTATTCGATATCGCAGCTATAATTATTCTGTAACTTGGTGTTTGTAGCACATAAATTTTACTGCAGTAAAATTAAGTCCTAGAGTTTCTAACCTGATTCACTTTATCTCTTCAGAATCATACGTCTAATTCCCAAGTTGCTTTCTTGTTGATTCGAATAGTGACTAGCAACTTTCCGTTGTGATAATATTCATGTTGATTAGCATTACATGGAAAGCTCAAAAATACACACTGGGTTTTTTGGATTCGAGTGGAGATTTTCCTACGATCATCAAATGTAATAATCCTTATAAAATGAAGCGGTTAAAACACCCAGTCAATGTTGCCAACTTCAGAGCTAGTGTGTAGAAAACGCGACTTATTTATTAATTAAATGAGCTTCAGTGATAAAACCGTAACTGTTTAACCTTGAAATAAATAAAAGTAATTTATTTACCAAATCAGGCACAATAAACTTAGTTTCTGTTAGGCTTTCTGTATTTATGTTGTATATCAAACTATACTTGTTACTTACCTTCATCTAAATATGAGCTTGAATCTTAGTAGGATTTATTGCGATTCAATTCCTTTTGTTGTGCCAAGTTCTGTCATTACTAGTTTGAGTGAGTTGTCTTGACTTTTGGATAGACAAATTAATCCTATTTTTTCAAGTCATTATGTACGCAAAGATCCGGCCTTACAAATTACTCGCTTATAACCTTTTATTTGTCGCTTACTCTATTCGTTACATGTCTCTAGCTTGCCTTTTGTATCTGACTATAAATGTTGAGTCAGTTTTTGTAAGATCGATTGGGTATTTCTGCTACTTGTTTGTATTTCTTTTCATCTCTCAGGGTTCGTCAGCAATATCGAATGTCTGAAATATACGTTCCTCAAATACTTTCGTATTTGACTTTTTACATCTACGTTATTAACGTGAATAAATACGAAATCACATAAGGCATATTTCACTAGCATTGTTAACGGTCCGATCTTTTCTTTATAAATAACAGTGTTAATAACTTTAAAAATCAGTTTATTTGGAATATGCTAGATAGTTCAAAAATAGTTCCAAGTGTGGAACTCCGCTTCTCTGTGTCAATCTAAGCATTCACCTTTACACAATCCTGCAAAACATATATTTGTTTGAGTTGAGGAGCAGTGGTTACTGTTTTCACTTGAGATATAGCACATGAAACCCCACATTTAATTAAATGATTAGACCGTTTAGATAAACACCAGTAATATCAAGTACAACGTTAGATAACGAGTCTACTGAACAACTCTGATGTCTTAAAAGTCATTAAGCATGCTAATCGAAATTGTGGTTCAGAAAGATCCTGAGGAGCTGTTTGTTTAAATTTCTTTTTGTCTTCCAGTTAACAATCATTCCTTTGATGTGATAAAGTCAACTTAACACTTTAAATGATGTTGACATGTCTAGAAGCATGCTTCTACTAAATCAGGACAAGTAGTTATTGTAAAGTACCCAGTTTTTCAATACTATCTAATGTAACCATTAATCATCACCAGACTCACCAAGTCCCCTATTTCATAATTATTTACTAGGTTAGGTTGAATGTACGTTTATACCTAAAACTTTTGTATAAGCCGATTTTTATATACAACAATAAGTTCAGCTGCTCATTTTGCTTACTTCTCCAGTTCGACTACTTTCGTTTATTTTCAATCTTTTGTATCATTTTCACACTAATTAAGTAAACACCCGAACAACCTTTTACTCAGTACCTTCTAAATTTAGATACTTGTTCCACCTAATAACCGCAAACTTTTATACAGTAATAGACTGTTTTTAACCATTACTAACAGAAGCGTACAAGATTAAATTATGATTTTTTACAAACCAGAGCAATCTGTTAAGAATTGCTCCTTTGATTAGTTGAAGTTCGTCATCTAAAAAAGTAGATACATTTTGTCGTGACAAGTTTATTTTTAAATAACACCCTAAGGAGACTATTTGGAAGTTCAATTTTATTTATTTGGTCATTGGTCGTTAAAAAACCAAATATTAGCCGGTAAAGACAGGAAAAATTGTAACAGTATACTATTTCTTATTGTCTATACAATTCACAGCCATCAACAAGATATACATATAAAATAAAGGATTAGAAAGACACTTGACTGAACGTTAAAACAAAAGGTTATATATATATATATATATATATATATATATATGACGGAACTCATCTAATTTTTCTGCATTAGCATTCATAATTGAAAAGGTGAGTACAGACAAAAAACAGTAATTTTCTTGTGCAACATTTACAAAACAGCATAGTTAAGAAAGAGAATATCATGATAAATTATCATTTGAAACGGAAATCGGGGGTGGGATAGGTGGCAGCGGTGTACCATTTGTTTGTATGGGTTGGGTTTGTTCAGCCGAGAAATTCGAAATTGTATGGATGGACGGAACATATTTTCCTGCAGATTGAATACTTGTAGTATTTACATGGTTTAGAGCTGGAATGTACCTAAAGATAGAGAAGATAATGATTAAGAATCAGGATGGAATATATCTAAATGACCACGAATAGAAATGCAAAGTAGTTCACAACCTACACCTATATAATGAAGACGAGTAGCTTAATGGGTAAAAACAAACTGTCTAAAGCCAACAAGCAACACCTCACTAATGATTATAATAGCGACAATAAATATATGGCTCTATGCTTGTGAAACCTGACCTCTCCGAGTTGGGGATGTTAGACTACTCTCTGTGTTCGATCATCGTTGTCTCCAAAGAATTGCTGACATCCAGTGGCAACACCATGTTAGTAATGCAGAGGTTCAGCATCGTGTGTTCGGGTGCAGAGACAATAATTCAATTGGTGTCACCATCATGAAACACCTACTTCGGTGGCTTGGACATGTTCTACAAATGTCGTCCCAGAGAATTCCACATCGCGCATTATTTGACGACTCTGGGACTGGTTGGAAAAAGCGGAGACGTGGTCAGTGTATGACATTGTGTCGTATTATGAAGGAAAGCTGCAAAGGGCTGACTTCTGTTGGTCCTTCAGGACTTCCTGGCTGGGGTCCGAGAGATGGTGCATCACAGTGGTTAGAGACGTTATCAGATATGGCTCAGAATAGAAGTCAGTGGCGATCCTGCTGTAACCTTCTTTTACTTTCTTCATAAAGAGTGGTTATAACTTCCTTAACTGAGAGTTTTTCTGGTTGGACTTTTCAGTTTCCCCCATCATTACTCTTCTCTTTTTTTCCCTTTTTCCTTATATATACGCATCTTCCCCTTTCTCGTCCCATTCTCATTGTTTTGTGTGGCGCATGTATATCTGGTGCCCCCTTGCACCAATACGTATGTGTTTAAATAAGTAATACATATTACGTATACCCAACTATTTACCTCGATTCATGATGTTTGCTCGTGTAGGAGTAGGTTGAAAATAAGGTAGCGGCAACCACAGAAAGACGTGGTATCATCCTATGAAGTCAATGTCTGTTGGACCTAGTATTATTTATTTGCTTTAACACATAAACAGTGGAACAAGAGAGCACTAAACACATATGCGCCACACAATAACACTGAGGCAAGTAGCAGTTATCATTGATTTGTGTGAGGGCTGTGGTGCTACCCTGACGCTCAAACCAAAGCAGGGGACTAAGTAGTACAGAATAATTGGTTGGAGTTTGAACAATTACCACAATGAGCGATCGGAAACATTGGGTAATATGGCACAGATGCATTCACTATTTGTCTTCCCCTAGATCACAAGTTTTAGAATTATTTTATAATTTTCATTATGCAAATCCTTTCTTCCCTCTTAAATCATATGGCCCGTTTGATTTTATTTTCTACTGCTGCAACCGTTACTACACCTATTATTCTGGTATTTATCGTGGCAATTTTATCTCGCTGTGCATACATTGTGTGTGATGTAACTTTAAAGTAAGCACACATCCCAGGTTCTCTGGTGCTTATCATTGACTAACTGTGCATTTCAGTTGACCTATTGTAACCAATGTTTTGTGATGATAAATTAACGGTAAGTATTAGAAAAAACCAAAAGAAGTCACTAAAAGTAACCGTCCGATTTGAGAAGCATGAGAACAAACGCAAAATACACAAGCGCTAAAAACAACGAATAAAAATAAACACATCAGTCAGACAGCGATTTTCTATTTTATATACGGCAATTTTTAGACAGACGAAGTTGCTCCCTAATTTAGAAAAGACTAGAAATCTAAAACTCTGAGGTGGCCTCACGTTCAACATTGATTTATCCGAAACGGTACTTGTAAGTCATTCCAAAGCGAGGGTACATAGTTATATTTCAGAAGTCGTCCATGTTTATTTGCAGACGCACCATTCGCAGTTTAACCACTTGCAAATATAATACTAGAGGTGAATGGTTTCTTAGTATCAAATGTGTCTCTTGGCTTATCAGGCCTCATTTTTTTAAAAACTAAGTGTCCAATCAGTCAGTTAAGAATATAGAAAGTCGATCAGTGCCTCCTGTACACCCGAATGGAAGTGAAAAAAAGTATAAAATCCTCTGAATGGATATCATCGGATGAAGGGCAGTTGTATGAAGTGCTTGATAATTTCTGGTCATGGAGTCTTTCCTCGTTCCTTTTTTCCTCAATAATGTCATTTCAGTTTAACACTACACATTTCTAGTGTCCTATTATTTTCTGATTTATGAGACGTGACTTGAATAAGCAACAGGCTACTTAAAACATTGCGTCTACAAAGCCGTTCGCAGTTGAGAGTTTAGATCTTAAGACCTTAAAAATACATTTGATAAGTGTTCAAATCTCACTCAAACTATTATCCTTGTACATAAAGCTTGTGTCCAGTCAACAAAATGGCTCAGTGGTCTAGAGGTTAAGCGTTCGCACGCGAGACTGGAGGTTGTGGGTTCTAATCTCGCGTGCGAAATCGTGGATGCGCACTGCTGAGCTTCATATTAGAACGAAATGGTCATGCAGTGCTCCCAGGGTGGTCTAGTTTAGATGGACTCATTAATTCAACTCTTAAAATGGAATGTTTTTAGAAAATAGTGACGTACCTGTTAGCCAACTGAGCATTGTTGTGTATATCTATCGTAAATGAAACCACTGAAGGTGGGCCTGATACTTGTCTTATGGGTGGTGGTTTACAAATATTCAGCCGAACCAGGACGTTGAATACTGCACTAGATACTACAGAGACAGGTGGGCCTAAATGGTTTGGAAAAAATCTGGGTTATGTAGATAAGACAAAATAAGTCTTACCCGGCAAACGTGAAACTATCATCTACATCGCCAAGTAGTCCATTACTGTGCCTTTGAAAAAAACGCAAGTAAGTCCACGCAATAAAAATCCCAGTCACAAAGAGAGAAAAGGATATGCCAGCACAAAATCCAATGCTGAATAAGACAGCGAAGGATATAGCAGATATGAATGGTATGTGTTTATAGCGTATTTTCCCCAGAGGAAAATCGATCAATAGCTTATCTGACATCATCTGCCGGCCTAATACAGTGACGCCTCCCAAAAGCGCAACAAGGCCACATACAGGATATAAGAATAGAACACTTTTGTCATAAATGATAAGTGATATTGGGAAAACAAACAAAGCAACAGAGAGAGAAGAAGAAAAGTTTACCAATACACTAAATTGAAGCAGCTCAAGCCATTTGTATGGACCGGATAGCAACTTATCCATGAGAAACACTGTCAGAATATCCAATACGAGAAGTGTGAGGGAAAAGTTGTAAAAAGAAGATGTGAAAAGTGTCCAAAACCGAAAGTAAGGTGGTAGGAGGTACCCTCCGATGATGCAGAAGTACGAATTCATATTTGGGATATAGGACAAGGAATAGCAAATACATTGTATACACATCACAAACTTCGTTTGCCATCGGCAATTACAGACTTTGGTATAACAAAGGGCTGAAGCAATGTTCATTGTCATTTCGTTTAGACTTCTAGCCTAAACTTCCTTCAGCTAGAACCTTGATTCACACTCCGAAGTTCATGGGCAAGGTAAATGAGTCACCTTGAAATTTAAAAACCGTGGTTACCCACAAATAACGGACTTCCAAATGGTTCAAATGGTTGAGGACGGAATAGAAGAAGCTTTCGCTTAACGGGCTTCCGTGTCTGGTAGCAGTGGATCACCAATACCTCCAGGCAAGAACCTAGGTATATGAACGATAATAGAGGGAAAAAAAGAATTTGGTAAATCATAATAATATGTTATCCTTAGTCCTTAAGAATAAGTCAAGTTTTCTCTTAAAGGACTCCTGGGAGGTCGCTTGGACTAGCTCAGTCGGCAGCGAATTCCAGCACTTGACAACTCTAACGGAGTAGAAGTTGTGTCTGCAGTCTGTTCTGCTATGTAGGGTCTCCAATTTCTGGGTGTTACCTCTGAGGTTAGTGTTATGACTAAGCTTAAGAAGTTGTTTAAGGGGATGACCAGAAGTATTAAGGATACTATAAGTCATAAGAAGATCACCTCTAAGACGCCTATACTCTAACGGGTAAAGGTTAAGTGATTTGAGGCGCTCTTCATAAGGTTTGAATTTGAGACCCCGAACTGATTTCGTGGCTCGACGTTGTATACGTTCCAGAGTGACCTTATCCCTTTGGAGGGAGGGAGGAAATACTATGTTTCCGTACTCTAAGTGGGGATGAATAAAACTGTTGAAGATTATGTGTAAGGTTCTACCGTCAAACTGGCCAAAAATGCGCTTCAATGTTACCAGTGCAAGGTTTGCCTGAGAGGCGTTTTTGTCACAGTTCGCATACAATTTCAGGTCGTAGGGTACCAAAACTCCCAAATCTTTTTCGACTTGAGAAACTTCTAGAAGGGAGTTAACTGAGTTGTAACTATAGTCTGCAACATGTCTCAGATAGACTACTTTGCACTTTGAAGTGTTGAAGGTAAGTCCGTTGTCGTCTGCCCAACTTTGAAGTCGAGTCAGATCCTCCTGAAGAACTAGTACATCATTGTGATTACGTATCTCTTTCCAAAGTTTCACATCATCAGCAAAAAGCAACAAATCAGATGAAACTTGTTGAGGAAGATCGTTAATATAAATCAAGAAGAGAAGAGGTCCTAGTATTGAACCCTGGGGGACCCCACTAGGACATTCCATAGCCTGAGAGAGAGTGAAGTTAACCCTGACCTTAAAATGTCGGTTTTTTAGGTATGAAGAGAGCCAATCAATCAAAGGGGGTTTTATACCGAATCGTCCAAGCTTCTTGATAAGAAATTCATGGTTGACCCTATCAAAAGCTTTTGAGAAGTCCAGGTAGATGACGTCAACCTTCCCCTTGCGATCAAGGATGGTTGTCCATCTATCCACCGCAGTCAGCAGGTTGGTCATACAAGAATGACCTTTTCTGAAACCATGCTGTTGAGGCGAGAAGAACTTTGAGGATTATAAGTGTTCTAGTATGCCGTCGAATACCAGGGATTCCATAATTTTGGAAGGTATGGAGAGAAGGGCCACTGGTCGGTAGCTTGAGGGTTCACTGCGTCGACCTCCTTTGAAAATTGGTGTGATGTGGGCCAGCTTCCATATTTCCGGTAGTTTGCCTCTGCTTAGCGAGTGTGCAAACATCACGCTAAGTGGTGTCGCCAGGATTGAAGCTGCTTCCCTCAATACAGCGGAATGAACCATGTCCGGACCAGGAGAAGTGTCTTTTTTTAGGTTCTGCAGTTTACGGAGCACCAAGTCAGCACTCAGGTCCACTTCGGAAAGTCCTGTACAGGTTCAGGTGAAGCTTTCGTCAGTATGGTTGATGTGGGTCAGCTGGAATGTCCGGGAGTAATGTTCAGCCAAAAGGTTACAATATACTGAAAGCTCATAAGAAAAATTCATTTATCCTTATTTATGTTCAGATATTGGAGTACGATTTCATGGCTGTGTTGCTAATCACTTATATTATTTCGGATGCTTAGTTCAGGTGGTTTTAATGGGCTCGACAAGTAATCGTTGTATTATGTTAGTATTAAGAGAAAAAATTGGCTGCTCAGTCAGTGATGTTAATTCACCGTGCTATCATAAATTATATTGAGTAAAAGGGATTAAAAGCTATTTATTGCTTATCAGAAGATGAATATAATCTCGAGGGATTTCGATGAACCAAGTTGTCAATTTTCTGGTTAGCGTTTTTTTAGCGAGTTAGCTTTTCTACGGGATGGGGTCGCTAACCCCATGCCCAACCCTCCTCCTTTACCCGGGCTTGGGACCGGCAGTAACTCTAGAAGAGCTACAGGCCCTGGGAGTTGAAGGAATAATGACGTCTCATGATGAAAGCCGAAATTCTTCGGAAGTCACGAGACCGATGCACCTTCTAACAACCAGAGCAACACTCTTTATAGGTACATGGAACGTCCGGACAATGTGGGAAACAGGAAAGACCAGCCAAATAGCAATGGAAATGAGGAGATACAAATTGGCAGTACTCGGAATCAGCGAAACCCATTGGACACAAACTGGACAACAAAGGCTAGGTACAGGAGAGATGCTGCTGTACTCCGGTCACGAAGGGGAAAATGCGCCACACACTCAGGGAGTTGCTCTAATGCTGTCCAGAGAAGCACGAAATGCACTTGTGGGATGGGAATCTCATGGACCCAGGATAATCAAAGCATCATTCAGAACAAAGAAGCAAGGGATCACAATGAATGTTATCCAATGTTATGCACCCACCAATGATAGCAACGACGATGATAAAGATCAGTTCTATGAAAGGCTGCAATCAATTATAGCAAAGTGCTCACGAAAGGACCTCACCATCCTGATGGGAGATCTAAATGCTAAAGTTGGAGTGGACAACACAGGATATGAAGATGTAATTGGACGACATGGACTAGGAGAGAGAAATGAAAATGGGGAGAGACTTGCAAACCTATGTGCTTTCAACAAATTGGTTATAGGCGGCACAATATTCCCACACAAACGCATACACACAGCTACATGGATCTCACCGGACCACACCACAGAGAACCAGATTGATCACATCTGTATCAACAAAAAATTCCGAAGATCAATGGAAGATGTGAGAACCCGGAGAGGAGCTGACATAGCTTCAGATCACCACCTGGTTGTGGCCAAGATGAGACTGAAGCTAAAGAAAGACTGGACAACTGGACAAACAGCACTACAAAGGTTTAATACAGCCTTCCTTCGAGATACTGACAAACTCCATGAATTCAAGATAACTCTCAACAACAGGTTCCAAGCTCTACAGGATCTACTGAATGAACAAGAATCTACTTTGGAGGACAACTGGAAAGGGATAAAAGAAGCACTAACTTCAACGTGTCAGGAGGTTCTTGGTCCTAAGAAGCACCATCACAAGGAATGGATCTCTATGGGGACCCTGGACAAACTTCAAGAAAGGAAGAACAAGAAACTAGCAATTAACAACAGCCGAACACGAGCAGAGAAAGTCAAAGCACAAGCAGACTACGCAGAAGCAAACAGAGAAGTGAAGAAAAGCATTAAAGCCGACAAGCAGAAATACATGGGAGAACTAGCAACGGCGGCGGAAAAAGCTGCAAGAGAAGGGAATATGAAACAACTATATGATACAACGAAGAAATTGGCAGGGAGATATAGCAAACCAGAGAGATCAGTCAAAGACAAAGAAGGAAAGACAATCACTGAGATTCAGGAACAGAGGAAAAGATGGGCAGAATACTTTGAGGAACTGCTGAATAGACCAGCCCCATCGAATCCACCGAACATCGAAGCAGCCCACACTGACCTTCCAATAGATGTCACTCCACCAACGATCGAAGAAGTCAAGATGGCCATCAGACAAATCAAAAGTGGGAAGGCGGCAGGACCTGACAATATACCAGCAGAAGCACTGAAGTCAGACATTGAAATAACTGCAAACATGCTTCACCTTCTATTCAAAAAGATTTGGGAAGAGGAACAAGTGCCAACGGACTGGAAAGAAGGATATCTCATCAAGATACCAAAGAAAGGAGATCTGAGCCAATGTGAGAACTACAGAGGCATCAGTTTGTTATCAGTACCAGGAAACGTTTTCAACAGAGTGCTGCTGAATCGGATGAAAGACGCAGTAGACGCCGAACTTAGGGATCATCAGGCTGGATTCCGTAAGGATCGGTCGTGCACAGACCAGATTGCGACACTACGGATCATCGTAGAACAATCAGTTGAGTGGAACTCATCACTATACGTCAACTTCATCGACTATGAGAAGGCGTTTGACAGCGTGGACAGGAGAACATTGTGGAAACTTCTTCGACACTATGGAGTTCCTCAGAAGATCGTCAACATTATCCAAAACTCATACGATGGATTACAGTGCAAAGTGGTGCATGGAGGACAGCTGACAGATGCATTTCCAGTAGGGATCGGAGTCAGACAAGGCTGTCTACTCTCCCCATTCCTCTTCCTTCTAGTGATTGACTGGATTATGAAGAATTCGACATCCGAAGGGAAATACGGAATACAATGGACTTCTCAGAATCAATTAGATGATTTGGACTTCGCAGATGACCTAGCCCTCCTCTCTCATACACACGGCCAAATGCAGATGAAGACAACAAATGTATCAGCAGCCTCTGCATCGATAGGCCTCCACATTCACAAAAGAAAAAGCAAGATTCTCAAATGCAACACGGAGAACACCGACCCAATCACACTTGATGGCGAAACTCTGGAAGAGGTGGAAACATTCAAGTACCTGGGGAGCATCGTTGATAAACAAGGAGGATCGGATGCAGATGTAAAGGCAAGGATTGGCAGAGCAAGGGCAGCATTTCTACAATTGCAGAACATATGGAACTCAAAACAACTCTCAACCAATTTCAAGGTCAGAATCTTTAATACGAACGTCAAGACAGTCCTACTGTATGGAGCTGAAACGTGGAGAACTACTACGGCCATCATCAGGAAGGTACAAGTATTTATAAACAGTTGT